TCTATCTATCTATCTATCTATCTATCTATCTATCTATCTATCTATCTGTCTTTTTAATGCATGTGCTGCATTGACAGGAGAAAGCAGTTTATGGGGTCCCCATGCCAAGAAGCTACTTGGAGCTGACCCTGAGCCCAAAGAGCACCGAGGTGGACCACGCCAGCACAGCGAACTTCAGCAGCGATGTCCTCCTGATCCCTGACCTCTGCACCTTTAAAGTCTTGCCCTGGGCGGAGCAGACGGCGCGGGTCATCTGCGACCCGTGCACCGTGACGGGCGTCCCCCTGCGCACCTCGCCTCGCCTCATTGCCAAGCAGCTTCTGGGCCAGCTCCAGAATCTGGGATTCTCCTTCCACTCGTCCTTCACCTACGAGTGCTGCGTCCTCGGGGCCCCCGACCGGATTGGCCCGAAGACGCTGCTGTTCCCTGCCACCACGCTTCTCAGCAACCACGACCTGCCTTTCTTCCAGCAGCTGGTGGACAGCATGTACTGCATGGGCGCGGACATAGACAGCATCGCCTCCGCCACGGGCCCCGGCCAGATGGAGATCAACTTGAGGCCGGAGTTCGGGATAGCCGCGGCCGACAGCGCTTTCACGTTCCGCACCGGCATCAAAGAAATGGCTCGCAAGCACAGCTACATCGCCAGCTTCTTTACCGACGACGGCCTGTACAACGCCGGAGTGCTCTCGCACAGCCTGTGGGACGCCAACGGCCGGCGCAGCCTCTTCCACAGCGGCGATAAGGCCGGCGAGCTTTCGGACATCGGGAAAAAATGGCTGGCCGGGCTCCTGACGCACTCCGCCGCCCTGAGCTGTCTGATGTCCCCCGGCCTGGGCTGCCGGAGCCACATCGCCAAGACCGTCAAAGACCCCAAGCGAGTGCTCTACGCCAGCTGCGGCTGCAACGACAACAGCAGCTCCTTCAACATCAAGTGCCACGGCGGGAGGGAGACGCACATCGACAACAAGCTGGGCTCGGCCATGGCCAACCCCTACATCGTCCTGGCCGCCACCGTGGCCGCGGGGCTGGACGGCATCAGGAGAAACCTGAGCACCGAGAGCACTCTGAACAAAGCCCCCAGCCAGCAGAAGGAGTTTGCCATTCCGGTGAAGCTGGACGACGCCCTGGAGGCTCTGGGGGAGGATGGCGTCATCTGCAGTGCCCTGGGAGAACCTTTCGTTCAGTATTTCATCGCGCTGAAAAAGTTTGAGATCGAGACCCAGGAACTGGATGACGACAGGAACAAATGCCTGGAGTATTTCATTTAGAACAACCTATTTTATCATGAGTGAAACGCACCTCTCCTGCTACCCTGACAGAAGCACAAGTAACAGCTGATTGAATATAAATCTTTATTTTACATTCACGCTCATACAATGCTGCCACACAAATTGAATTTGTCAGAGTCATTTTAAAATAAAGGCACAAGTGCTAAGTCTTCCAGTGCTTTATTGTTGTCTGGATTCAGCTTTGAGTGTGAAGCAGCTACCAAAATACAAGTTTACTTTCTGCGGATTAACAAGAAAGGGAGAAGTCTCTTCACTGTACTGCGCTGCTCTGTGGTGTGTAAATACCACCGTGACCTCATTAGTCATGGCTGTATGACCAGTGCATTTCAGAGAGAACTTCATGTTCAGTTTGCGTGACCTCGATATCTGTCAACTTTACTCATCACTTCCCCTATCACACTTTCACCTCATTAGTTCAACTTGAGTATTTCGAAAAAACACATTTTCACATACTCAAAGTAATTCCCCGTGTCCCCTGTATGTTTGCTTTTTTCTTAATTAGGATCATTCCTCAGTGAGTCTATGGTCTATCACTGCTTTATCAGAATAAGCCGAAGTCCTAATTATCCATGTCTTAAAAACTTTTACGGCAGGGATAACAAGCTCCATGAGGGTTCAACAAACTGAAATGAAAATATCTGAACAGCTCATAAACTGTATAGAGCAGGGATAGTTACACACTGGTTTTGTTTTGGCAATGCAAACTGAGGATGGAATCAGGGTCAGAAATCCAACGTCCACTGCAAGGATTCCTCAAAGTGCAGTAGAATCTTGTCATCCACAAGTCAGAAGCATTAAGGGCTAACTGATTGGAGTCTCAGCAGCCCATGACCCCCCCCCCCCCCCCCCCCCCCCCCCCAACACCCCCCCCCCCCCACACACACACACCAAAAACAGTCCTCTGCATAAATACAAACTCCTCTTGCTCAAGAGGGTTTATGATTTTTCCAACAGAGCGTTGTTGTTTCCAGATCCAGAGGCTTTTACCCGTCTTCTGGGAAAAATAACTAAACAGTCTTCCATTTTTCCCATTCTCTCCAGTGCTGCTCCCAAATGTTCTGACCCAGAGAAGTTGACTTGAATGTTGCTCGAGATACGTTAAAATGATGAGCTTCAGCATTTTCCTCCAAATTGAACTTCATTCTTACTCTGAAAAATAAAAAGAAGACAGAATAGTTTTTAGCAATTTCTTCCAAGTAGGTCCAATGTAAATGTTGACTTTGTGATGTCATATTAAATGTATGGAAAATCTTTGAATGAGATTTCAGCCACAAAGGCAGCATTTCTCTCAACAACATGGTTTAAAGTGGCACAATTACAACTGGTTTTGTTTTCCTGGTCATTATCATTTAAGGAGACATGACTAAAACGGGAAGAAATAAGATGAATTAGTGTTGATTATCATTTGCAGATCCTCCCAGTTGCATTTCATGTTTGTTTTTTAAATATTAATATAAAAAACGTTGTTTTATCCATCCCTCCATTATCGTTACCGCTTATTCCCTAATGGGGTTGCGGGGAAAACTGTAGCCTATCCCAGTGGTCAATGGGCAAGAGGTGGGGTGGGACTGCGGTACACCCTAGACGGTCCGCCAGTCCACACAAAGACAAACAACCACACAGTCTCACACCGAATGTCCAATCAGCCTAACATGCAGGTTTTTGGACGGTGGGAGGAACCCGGAGAGAACCCACCAGACACAGGGAGAACATGCAAACTCCACACAGAAAGGTCTTGGTTCCTCTGGGACTTGAACCCAGAACCTTCTTGCTGTGAGGCGACGGTGCTAACCACCCAACCACAAAAGACATGAATATCTAAGTCAACAACAAAAGATCAAAACACTCACTTTGCCTTGATTCTCCTCCTACTTGTTTTTGCTGATGAGATTTCCAACTCGTTGCATGAGTCGGCCCAGTTTGTTGTCAGTGGTGCCGTGTGTCTGAAACGCTGCGTGGCCACCGTCCTGTCTGTGCAGCGAGGAGCTCCTGGCGTTGTCCGAGATACTTCCAGGGCTGAGAAAATACTCATATTTACTGTAGACTTTCTCTGTCTTGTTGTGAGAAGCAGCGGCTTCACTTCCCGGAGTGCTCCTCGAGACTGGCTCTTTATCTGCCGCCAGATTTGTCTTCCTTTTGCTTAGACGCTGAGGGGTTAGCCTGGAAAACGGAGATTTATGCTTCTCTGCATCCGAATGTGACCTGGAGAGTCCTGGTGACTGGCTCTTCTTAGTCGTTCTCTCTTTTTTGGAGGCCTTCTTTTCATCGACTATGGGCGCTTTGGTTCCTACGGAATTTTTCCTCCAGGTGTCTGATGCCTCCGGTTGTGTTTGCCCTATTTCTGTGTGATCACTTTGACCTTCCACTACAGGATGACATCCTGCGGATGCATTTAAATTGTTTAGAGCAGTTGATTCATTTCCTTTTTCTGGGGAAGGTAAAAAGTCCGTACTACTATGTTGAGACACATGGGCCACCCCTGCAGGTATAATTGACTCCCCTAAGTTCTCTCCGAGAGGATCTTTGTCATCTTTGCAAATCTTTTCCGTCTTTTCTCCGACGGTTGATCCTAAACTCAGTCCATGGTTCGGCAGCTCTTTTTCTTCAGGGATTTCTGTCAATGACTCCATCAGTCTTGAATTCTGGATGCCGAGACCACTTGATTGTGCTGAGTGAGGGATCTTGAGCATTGCATCAGCCAGTTTCAAGTCTGAATCAGCATCGGCTTTTGTCCTGGAAAAAGCTGGCTCATGCCAGTGTAATGCCTGCCTTGACTTTTGGTCTGCATTGGTTCTGATACTGTAGGGAGAGGCAGAGTCATCCATCCTTCCTCTGTTTTGTGTACTTTGCACCATTTCTGCTTCACTCTGTCTTATGTCACGGCCTCCTTGCATGCATTTCTGCCTTTCTATGCTTGAGTAGAAAGGACTCAAGGACTCTTGGCTCTGTCTGAAATTGGCGTAGTCCTGCAGACTGAGCCTCTTTTGCCTAATTTCTTCCAGTCTAGACTTGATGTCCCTTGACCTGCTGTGAATCAGTTGTGACTGGTGCTCATTCAGGCCGGTGAGACTGCTGTACGGAGACATTAGGGGGGATATTGCATCACACGATGCTCCCGGGGACATGCCATTTTCATTAACGTACGTGTCAATCTTCCACCTGTTGAGAGATGTTTCAGAGTTGAACGGTATGAGATTCTGGTCGGTGCCGTAGCGAGTCTGGTGCCTGTGGTACATCCTGTTGGCCTGGGGCAGTTGCCTCCCACCTCTCAGTCGGGATTCGGGTCTCTCGGGAGGATTTTTCACATCCTGTGTTCCCATCCTTGATCGAGTCATGAAGTTTAGCTTCTGCAGCTCTCCGCCATAACTATGCCCTCTTACCAAGGACCCCATATCAGCACAGTGGGACTGATGCAGGCTCTCCTGCACGCTCACGCCCCTACCTAACATATAAGAGTTGTTAAATCTGTCATGCTGGGCGCCCCTCGTGTTGTGGAGAACCGTGGATCTCATGGGAACTTGATTGAGAGAAAGCCTGCTGGCGTTGGGGCTCTGCACGGCCACGGGGTCTCTGAGGTACGGCACAGGGTGCCCCCACCTGGACAAGGCCGCCGGGACCACCGAGCGAGCGTACAGCCTTCTGAACTCCTCGTCGTACTGAGACACCAGCTGACCGGTGACGACCAGCACCATGCTCAGGTTGATCTTCTCGAATGACCACGTGAAGCTTCAAACAGATGAGTGAGACAACCGTTAGATACCAAGACATTAGATATTCCGAAAACTGTTAATAAGAAATATATATATATATATATATATATATTTAGTCCCTCCACCATCGGAATCTCACTGTGTGGCGGATTTTTAAATCCAATATACATGTTTGGTATCACAGACTTTTAGCTCAGGATTTTGTGTATAGGTAATTTCCTATATTTGTTATTTGAATTATTTTATGGCTTTAAATACAAGCATACATAAGCATTTCCTTGCCTATGAAAGTAGAAAATAATGTAAAATATATAAAAATCTGCAGCCACTTCTTTGTGAGCTTGTTTACCCACATGAGGTCCGTATATGGGACACTGTTGGCTGATGGATGGAAGGCCATCAATCAGGTGTGGAGATGGTTTGGAAAGCTTTAAAATCTACAGCCCTGATCAAAATTTTAAGACAATCCCTAAAATGGCAAAATCGCATTTGGCCATTTGGCTCATTAGAAGGTTTCTAAGTGGAGCTTCAAAAACCGTGTGTGGTGATGAGTGGACGATGATGTTCCTCTGCCAGAGGACCTCTTTCAGGAACATTAGGTCACTCTGTTGGAGCATCCTGTGTGTTTCTATGATCTAAATCCTATTCAGAACATTTGGAGATGGGAGTAAGGGATGTATACAAATATGGACACTTCCAGACGGTGGATGTCTTTCAAACACTCACATTAAGCATGCCTAAACATTTTTTTTTAAAAGGTGAAAAATAGGAATGGTGAAGCTACTCTTTACTGAGTTCTAGGATTAGGGTTGGACACTTAGATGTCCGCTTTAAGGCCTTCTTTTTGGTTTGTTCATAGGTATTTCTCAAACCTTTGATCAGCTAAGCAACCTATTTTAGTTAAACTTTGGTTTTTAATGAACTGCCTGGTCAAAGTTTTTGGTCTCATATCCTCTTTTTGCATTGAACCTTCCTGATATCCACAGTGCAAATTGCACATTTTTGCAATTTTATTTGACTGGTCTTAATATTTGATCAGGAGTGTACATGAATAATAAAATAATAATAATAAGGTTTTTTCAGTTTTTTCTCTAACTGATCTCAATGATAAACAAGAGACTGCTGTACTCCATGCTGTACTAATTAAAATCTGTTTTTTTAATATATGTCCACTAACTTAAAGTAACTGCCTTTCAAATATGTTTATTCAGATCATATTTGTAGGTCATATTCTTTTAAAGTTAATAGATATCTCTAAATCCAGTTGTTGTGATGTTAAATTCAGGCATAAAGACAAATATAAAAACTAATTTATTTAAATTTTAACAAGTTTAATGTAATTGGTACCATTGGTACTGAATGTGATAGTTGGGTGGATATATTGTAACCTGGTGTCTACCTCTTGGAGAGTGTTTAATGATAAAAGGACTCACCTGTAGGTTCCATACAAAACTGTCTTGCAGTCCACCAGGAGAAACTTCTGCTCCAAACCTCCATGAAACTTCTGCCCGGACTGACACTGATACTCGTCTCCTTGAACTGTCCGAACTCGGAGGTTCTGTAACGTAAAAGCCAAAGCAAAGTTAGCCGGTTTCCAGCCAGCAACGAGTCCATCCCTCTGGCTGTTGAGCCTTCTTTTACACCCTCCAGGGGATAAGGGCCTAGCTAATTCTAGCTAGCTGATTTCTGAGCCATTACACAGAAAGAACGAGACTTTATTTGAGCGACAGAAATGAAGAAGACAAACACACTTGAAATTCTCAGATCTGTTATTTAGACAGGGCTTTTGTGTTTAGAAGCTACAACCAGCATAAACGAAGGGTTCTATTCAACAGAACATCGTGAGAAAATGAATAATTGACGGGAAAGTGACTTTGCATATATTCAGATGACAGCAGAACGAGGAAATGTTTCTGAATAGGGTTAGTCTCGCTCCTTTCCTGCTTGATGGGTAGTTCCAAATGTACAAATAAACATAACAGTCATTTGGTAAAAATGTTTTGCTTCAAGACCAAAAGACCAAGTCATTTAGCTCAACTTCTAAATGGAGTGTTGGGTAATTATGCATGAAAATGACAGAATTTACATAATTAATAGAAATTTGGGGATCTCATCTTAGTAAATATGTAAAAGTTGAAAATATAGTTTTCGTGGGCACAGAGGTAAGATTCAGTCTCGTCTGTTTTATCAAAATATTGACATTTTTGAAAATTTTAATTCCATTCGAATCATTAGTTTTTATCTACAATGCATAAAAAATGAAAAGCATTCTTTTGAACTAGTTATGTGTCATCCAAACGAAGGCCCATCTTTTGTGTTTCCATGACTCCCAGCTTCACGCAAACACAATGAAAAGTGCACACAAACTTGGTGAAACATGACTAAACACGTAAGTCTGTTTTCAGAGGCCGGTGTGTTGATGGAGCTCATCACCGAGTACTTGACAGTGAGATCATAAAACCACAACTGTTTGAACTTCTGAAACATTATCCGCCGTCATCCCTCGGCAGGTCGATGGGAAATTTCTGCCACTCTACCGGCTCTGTTCTCTGTTTGCCGTCTTTGTCTCACATGCTGATGACAAGTAGAAACACAGGAGAGAAGAGCGGGCAAATACCGGTGCGTTAATGTTACCGTCTGGGTGTGGAGCGAATGTTGGCGTTAATCCGTTAAAAACTGCCTCCGACAGAAGAAAGGTCGTTCCGCAGGCATGGCTTCCAGCGAGACACGAAATATTTCCCTTTCTTTTCAAATGTCAGTCACAGATCACGTCATGACGACCCGCCAACCTGTGGGACGCCGTCTGTGCTTGTGTGAGATGGGTTTGACCTTTAGGTAGTTTTGTACATCGTGCAGTGGAATGTTGGACCAAAGACGGCCTCTCGTTGGGACTAGCATTAGTTCACACTCTCACACACACACACACACACACTGGACTTGTTCACATTTTATCAACGTTCTAGTGTATCTGCACATGTACATGACCAGGAAACCTCCCTTGAGTCACCACTGTGGTATAATGGACGGTACTGGGCAGACAACAGACTACCAGAGGGAAGCTTCCATTTGGAAATGTGTGATTTTTAAAAATCCCATTAGCTTTAACTAGCTTTAGCTGACAACCCCAAAATGGATTCTAAACGGCAAACTAGCACATGGCTGTTCCTGTGTAACAGCTGTGAGAATACCAAGTGCTGAATAGAGGAAGAAGGAGAAGAAACCAAAGAAAAGCTGAAAAAGACATAGAACTGAAGAAGAATGGAGGAATAATTTGAAAGATATGAACCGGCGACTTCCGGATCTGCAGTCAAACGCTACCCAGGAATACATAGGAAAATTTGAAGGGGCTGAAATGCCAGTGACCAGAAGATGGAGCCATATTTTTTACTCCATTCATTTCAACGAGAGGAACAAGGCATAAAAAGTTAACTATCTTAAAAAGTTGAAAAGATTTGAACACCAAAAGGTACAGCTTCATAGTCCTGAGATAGCTGAACATCTTGATACGTATACATATGTGTTGAAATAGGCTGAAAGGTGTAGGAGTAGTTAGATGCAGAAAAACGTACGGAATTAAGAATAATAAAGAGAAACAGGAAAACATTAGGAAACATTCTTTTGTGCGTATTTCTTTTTAGAAAATTATCACTTTCAGAATCTGATTTGGCGTTTATGTGATTTATGAATGAAACATTAATCATTATATCGATGTACTTTGTGCGTTCATCGTCGGGTGTCCTCAGGGCCATAGAAATCACAGCATCCCCTTAGATTTAAACAGTTGTGCAGTAAAACATGCACACTTGTTTTTTTTCCTTTGATTCCGTCTCTCACCTTGATGTCGTGGACGTTGATGCCCACGCTGTGCGACATGTCCAGGAAGCCGCCGACCTGGGAATCATCCAGAAGGATGTAGACGCCCACTCCCCTCAGCGCGGCGTTGATGAGCTCCTTGAAAATGTCGGCGTCAGTGAAGACGTCCATGGCGATGGCGACGACCTACAGATGTGGGACAGATGTGTTTACACACGTTTACACGCTCTGAAGTCTCAGTTAGAGAAGATCCCACACGGTAGAGAAGTTAGAGACAACCTTTTACACTTATCTCAACAAGTTCTTCAATCTCAAAATCTCTAATAATAATGATAATAATAATGATAATAATAATAATCGTTAGAGAATTTGAAATGTATTTTCTGGCCCAATAAAGAATAGTTAATAATGGCTTACTCTGGGAGTACATAACCAAGTTTGACTTTGATAAATTACCATAATAAATACATGATAAAATGGATAAAATGGGGATTTCACACATACACACGAACATTCACACACACACTCATCTTTGGCATAAGTTGTAATATCTAAAACAGACTTTTTCACACCAGTTTTTAGCATTTAACTTTTGGGTTTTGGGGCTTGAACTACACTTTCTTTTCAGTGTTAAAAAAATACTATATGTTGAGTAAGTTATGCACTGATTTCTGGAAAAGAAACAAACAGCAAATGGAAGCATGGCTGACGTATGAAACGGGGACAGCTGGGTCTGGTCACCATCTACTGTGTGCATCGTATTTGTTGGTCCCCATCAGATATTTGTGGCGTGGTGGTCCATTTCATGCACACACACACTCACACACACACACACTCACACACTCGCTGTTGTGCCACTCACATGTGGGCCTGCACATCCAGCCCCTCAGGCTGAAACATGCAGGCTTATTCACATAATGGAGTAAAACCGACATGCTAACCTTTCAATGAAGAAGTAGTTTGACAGTGTAGAATTATCTTTTGCCTAACAGAGAGAAAACCTCTGTTTTTTCTTTATAACAAGCTGTATGTCAGTCATGCTCAGACAAGTAGTAAAGTGTTCTCTAGTAAAGAAGTCATCTGCCTCAGGGTGCTTAGTTTCTCTCACCTATTCTTATTTTTATCACGTTAAAGACAAATAGTTTTATTGCGGTGAGTCAGCGGTAAAAAGCTCCGTGCTGCCAAACAGCATAACTGCAGGGTGTGTGCTTTTAACAAGTGCAAACTCAAATCTGTTTGAGCGCCACATTTGTTAAGATGAAAGCTGAAAATGTTTGAGGCGTGAGTTTCTACTGGTTCTATTAGAGTTCAGGGATGATGCACGCAGGGCGGATTCTGACGGACAGAACAGAGAACTGTAAAAACATCTCTGTGGAAATAAAGAAACAAGGTCCTCCTGTTATATTTGCGATTCTCTCAGCTTTTAATTCTAAACTTTAATCAGCTGTGTAATTAGAGGCTGAGACTAGAACTAAGAAACATTCAGACAAGTAAAAACATCATCACCCAATTAACGGGAAAGCCTTTTAAAAGATGGAGAGGGAATGTTCTTTTAAAAAATCAAAGAATAAAGGATACCTTTGGCTATGTTTAAACCTATGAGGGTTAAATTCTCCACATTACACAGAGAAATAACACCACGGAGACAAAATGTCATTGTGGCCCCTGCTTTTTGAATCAGAATATTACACACACAGTAACTCCAAAAACAGCTCAGTGAATTGATGATAAAATCCTGACCTGGCAACTCAAAGGTATGTAGTAAATTAGAAGAAAATATGAGGATTGAGAAGACTTTTGAAAATGCTTCAATTTAGAAATACAAAAAAAAAGCATCTAAAAATGAAGCATTCGTCCTCCATACATGATTAAAAGACAGAAGAAAATCAATAGACTATGACTGACATGGTAAACGAAAACTACTTGTTGGACGGATGTTGAAAAGTGTGTTGCTGATGTGTGGAATTCCACAGAGTAGAAATAAGCTGTCCCAGTTACAGACTGCCGTTTGACGTTTGAACCGGTGCAGTCAGTTTTTCTGACTTAATGTATGCTTTAGCCAAGCCCTCAGGTTCACGGTGCGTACAGAGAAATATGTAGGGGCCACGTGTGCCTATCTCTGGGCTAATCCCCGTCATTGGGCTTCCCCTGATGTATAGCCCGGGTCTTTTTTTAACTTTTCTGAGCTCACCTCACGCGCCTCCTGGATCTGCCTCCGCACCACCTCCTTGATGGTGGGCGTGTTCTGTCTGGGGGGCTGAAACAGCAGGCTGATGCTGGTGTCCGCGCTTTCCGGGGACACCCCGGGCCACCCCAGCTCCAGGTCCGGCACCTCCTCGTAGGACGCCGTGGGGGAGTAGGTGGAGGATCCGACCTCGTCTGTGGTCTGTGTGCCTTTCGGCTCATCCTCCACGACCGGTAATTCCGCATTTCTCAGGATGAAGAGGATCTCCTCCTCTGAGAGAAAGTAGCTGATCTGCTCCGCTCGCAGAAACTCCCGGTAGGCCTCTTTGCCCCCGCAGAGCAGGGCGTAAATGGCCAGGCGGTAGGATTCTCGGTAACTCGGTTGAACGTAGGCCTCGGGGTTCTCTTCCGCTAAGGAGGACAGGCAGGACAGATTGGACTCCATGGATGCCGGATCTCCTCTGTGAGGGCATGCAGCAGGCCTCCTGTTTACCTTCAGTGGGAAACGGTACCAGAATTTTAAAAGGGTTCACCATGTTCTAACTTTGAAAACACAAATATTTTGGAATCGTTCACCATCTTACATGATAAACTCCTTGGATGCACCAGCGTTTTATTTAAACCCTCTCTTGTTTTCTGATCTATGAAATATATTTCCAGAGTTAATGTATCCTAACTTTGGTTTTCCTCCATCTAACAGGTTAAAAGAGCTGGATACTTCCTCCTCTGCTCTGTTTAAACCTGTCTGTGATCACACATCAACATATGAGCCTCTAGAGTCCAAAGAACTCAGAATTTTGCTGGTTTTCCTTAAGAATTAGGCTTTATTCCTTAAAATGAGCTCTGTTCCAGCATCTATTCCTGAAATGAAGGGAAACTTTGTGCTGATGTCTACTAAAAGCTGGAATTCTGGAATCATTTTATACTTCCTGCATTAGAAAACAGCCGCTTTGAGCTGGAGGACAACAGCTGGGACTATTTGCTGCCATTAAAAACCCTGAAATTCTTTCGGATCAGCATCCTGATCCACTCTGACATGTAGCTGTCAGTGGTTTTCCATTTACCTGTGAGCCTCTGATCAGAACCAGAGAGGAAATAACTCACACTTTCTGCTTTTTAACTTCAAAACGATTGTTATTAATCATGTTATATCATCTTATAAGAGCAGATCGGGTTGATTTGACTCGGGAAGTTAAAGGAACGGAGTAAACAGGAAGACAAAATGAGGGTTAAGAAGACTTCTTAAAGTGGTCCAAGTCAGAAATAAAAAAAATATGAAAAATAAAGCAATGCATACTTCATAGAGAATGTGAAAAGTAGGCAGAAAAACATTATGTTACCGCAGGTTGGGACAGTCTCAAACTGAGAAATATTAGGCTGAATCTGAAAAGTTATCCACTTACGTCATTACCGGGAGCGAAATCATTGTTTTTGTGTGCGGTTCTGATCCTGAAAGGTGGTTATAAAAGAACAAAGTGAAGTCCCTGGACCGGTCGCGGTGCCTGTGCTCTCTGAGGCGATCCACTCACGATTTGAATGCGCTGTGCAAACGACAAGCCTGTTCTACCTGCTCTGTTCCCTCCACTGACAAATACTGTAACAAGCTCCACCCACCTCAGATCACCTGGCTTTCAACAACAGGTTTTTCTATCCCGCTGTCACACAGACCCATGTGATTCCTAAAGTGTGGATGGAACTGAGATTATGTGGGTGAATTGTAGGATATTACTCAGAGACGGCGGGAGATTGATAAGGAAGGTTTATTGCCATCACAAAGCACTGGAGAGAAAAAAAACAACACAACAAGCCACAGACACATGGACCTCTCTGATTTGGACAGGAACTGAGCGCTTGTATTCGCAGCCTCGGTGGCTGGTTTGAGATCTGAGAAGCAGAAAAATCCAGTGTAGTTTTGGTTTTTTATTACAACTTGTGTCATATTCACGCAGTTTCGCAGATGATCTTAATCGACGTTAACCAGCTAGCGCTTCGGTTTGGAAACCCTGCGATGGTTCCCGACAAAAATGTGAAAGCAAGCACAAGAACCACCAAACCCAAACCCAACAGGGGCCGAGTTTTTGATTAGGAGCGAGCGATGGTCCAAAGAGGGCTCTGCTTCCAAGCCACCGCCAATAAATACGACCCGAATTGTAATAAACCTTCACGTGCTACAGGCATTCCACTTACAGTGCGCAGTGGAAGGTTCAGCTTTTTTAAAACACCTAACATTCGTCTGACTTGACTTTTCCTTTTTTTTCTTCACGTTTCCAGTCCCTACTCGTGTTAACAGTCAAACCCTGAAATGTTGAACGTGATGTTAGTCAAGAAAACGCAGCGCTTGGGGGAGTAAATGAACGGCTCCTAGTTTCACACTCATGCTACGGATCTCCCTCTCCAACCCCTAGAAGCACCTCTCACTTCCTGGGCGGGGTCGGAGACTTCATGAACCTGGGCGGAGTCGGGGACTTGACGCTGCGAGTCGGGGTGGG